TTAAATTCTGCTTGCAGGGTCTGGGTGAACTTCCTATTCATAGTAAAATCCTTTTTATAATGATCTCATATATGGTACCAGGAAATTGCTCATGGCTAGGTCAGGCCATCAGCCAATCTAGCCATGATATTAGCTTGACTAAAAAACATTCCTTCATGAGCCTCTGGAAATCTCTAGAGAAGAGTTTTCATAGACTATATGACTATAAACTGGGTCTCTGGGACGGATTACTGTAGTAGGGACATTAAGTTTAAGTTCAAAAGGAATTTCTGCTTTTATTAGGCCAATCTCAATAATTTTTATCACTTTGGGTTTTGTAAATAGCATAGTGAGTGAATCAAGTTGACTGCAGAGAGATTTATGAAGTACTTGATATATAAGGTATGGCCAGGAAGTATTTGCCTCTAGACTTCCCTGGAGGCAGACAAATGTGATTAGAGGTAGAATCTCTCAGGACATAGACAAATTGGGGGGAATTCTACCTCTGCCTCTTTGTAATTGAGACCTGGAGCCAACACCTTAATCTCTTGGGTATCAGTGGCCTTATGTGTCGAATAATTTCTGTTTCACAAAGGTTCTGTAAGAATCAGTGGAATAGTGTATGTAGTTCATCCAGCATAAGCTTTGTTGGAGTTGTGCAGTAAACACCTGCTTCTTTTTCTTCTCAGTAAGCAGGTGAATAAGATGAGGCTGAGTGGTAGGCATGACCTGGTATCTCTTTCTCAAGAGACAGTGAGTTATGGCCCTCGGCCAACCACATTTGCATACTCTCTCGGAGCTGGCCTTGAATCCAGGTCAGATGATCAACCCCGCCAGCTCTTTGAGGAGTTGAGAAATAAAGCAAGGGCAGTAAATGATATTCAGAGCAACAGATAACTCAACTGCGTGGAAAGCAAACATAGTGCTCTGTCCTCACAAGGAGAAGGTCCCAGGGGCATCTACATGTGATAGCAAGAGGATGAAGCATATGGATAGCATGCAAAATCTGCAGATGCTCAAGTCTCTCATATAAAATGAAATAGTATTTGAAATAGCCTATGCACCTCCAATTTTATTCTTTTTGATACATGGTTTTTTCTATGCAGTTCAGGCTGGCCTTGGGCTCAGTTTGTAGCCCAAGCTGGTCTCAAACTTGCAACGACCTTCCTGCCTTTCAGCCTCCTGAGTTCTGGGATTGCAGGAGTGTGCCACTACACCCAGTTCCCCAAGTTTATTCTTTAAACCATGTCTATATAGTTCTGCCTCCATTTCTAAACCATTCAGCCTACAAATTGTTGGTAACCATTTCCAGTGTACAAAACACATAGATGCATGGACAGCTATTTCATTTTTTTTTAAAGCTTTTAAAAATTTTATTTAAGGAGAAACAGAAAAAAAAATCAGAAAAAGGGTATAAGTTATACAGAATTTCAGAGAAAAAATAAACTGTAGGAAATCACTAGTTAATAGATTACATAATTGTCATCTTAGAAATATTTGTTCAAGTTACAAAATTAAAGCATATAAAGTGGACTTTCAAACAGTGAGACTGCAAACAGTTCTGCTCAATGATCCAACAAAACTCAGTAATATCGTTATCTATCTTATACACTTAAATATAAATGCAGTTATATCGTTTAGAGCACTTTCTTTTCCTCTCTTTTGTACAATGACAATTATACATTTTGGGTTTTATTACTCCCACAGTTCTTATTATTTTTTTTCGAAGAGAGTAAAACCAAATGTGACATAACAGAACAGAATCAGTCAAAGATAACAAAATATATTATGGTAGCCATTTCTGATTTCCTATTAGCTTGAGTTAAAGTCCTGTATTGCTTCTATTGTTTTGTTTTGACTGATTTTATTCTATTTTGTTTGTTTGATTGTAACATGTCTTATGGTATATGCAACTACTTTGAAGATAACAAGATGCATTATGGTACCCACTGTGGTTTTCCTATTATCTTGTTTTGAAGTCCTATACTGTTTCCATTGTTTTGTTTTTATTGGTTTTACTCTGTACTGCTTTGTTTGATTTTATTATGCCTGATGGTATGGGCAATTCTTTTGAAGGTAACAAGAGGCATTATGGTCACCATTATTGATTTCCTTGTATTTTGTTTTAAAATCATGTATCATGTTCATTGTTTTGTTTTGATTGACTCTGTTCTGTTTTATTTTGTTTGGATTTATTCTCTTCAAAATAAAAATAAATAAATAAAATTTTAAAAGTAACAAAACAAAACGCATAGATGTTCCAGCAATGAGTTAGACACGGTCTTTGGGCTTGAGGAATAGTTCATTTAGTATAGGATATGAGGCACACATGTGTCAACAAGGGAAAGCCCATAACAGTGATGACAGCAGACTGCCTGCCCCAAAGCATGATTTCTTTGTAGCTGGGAACTGCGAGTGCTCAATGGGAGAACCCTCACTCTGACACTAATTCTAAATACTAAAATGTGCAAGAGAGTCAGATGTAGAGCTATTAGTCTCTGCTGTGGCATTTTACCATGATGGAAAGATGCTTCGAGCTCATAGTGTCTAAGAGTGAGTAGGAACTGAAACAAAAATGATTCATTTGAAAATAAAGCATAACTGTTTGCTATCACTTTCTATACTGGTCTGTTGCTAGAGCAAAGTGAATCTGCGGCCCAGCATATCACAGTTGCACATACCAGGGCTAACAAGTGGGATTTTACATCTCCCGACTACCCTGCATGGATACTTCGTATAGCCAACAACCGACACAGATGTGGGGACCCTGCATGAACTCTGTCCCATTAGAAACTTCTTTTCTTCAAATAAATTAAATTCTGCTCCTTTGATCTTTTTACACAGAATCATTTCCTCCATCACTATCTGCTTTGCTTTACTTGATCATTTCTGAGTTTTTATTTTCTGTTCTATTGGAGTTTTTGACTTAACGGGGTCTTCTATCAATCGGCTGTGGTGGCAAATACTGTAAATAATTGGGCTTTCTTACACTCTATATTTCACTTAATTTTCATATGTCACAGGGGATATAGTGTGGTCGAGACAGTCAGTTTCTTTGGTTGCTTAAAAATTTTGTAAAAGGCCAGGAAATCAGAAAGTCCTGAAGAGTATAGGAGGGAGACAGATGAGGAAACACCCCCCTGAGAGTTTTTGGGATGGTATTTATGGGATCCTTTAATTACCTTTGTATAGGAAGCATTATCAGTTGTGATTGGTATCTGTGCATTTTAGATCTAGTTCCTGTCAATTATGAAATTAACTTTGGTTTATCCTTAGCCCCCAATTTTATACATTCTACCTCTGATTTATGTTCACCATTTGATGTTTTTCCACTTTTGGTGAAGAAAGCTGTGTTTCTTTGCTTCCTAGACATGATCGGATTGTCTCAGGAAAGTTCTTAAAATGGTAAAGATGGCAATTGAAAGAGAGGGAAGAAATGGGTGCTGGTACTTTTGGATTTGGGTAAAACACATTTATAGGCAGAGTGCTGTTTTTGCAGATGCACTGTTTTGTGAGATTATTCGTCAAACTATTCTGTATGCCATCCAGATGTCTTTGAGCTCTAGCGGCAGAGGAAGAAAAGCTTGCACTCTATAGACCTCAGGGTGTGGGCCTCCCCCAAACAGCCAACACTTTCTTTACAGAGAATTGTCTGCCTCCCTGAAGATGGAAATCAATGACTTAGAAACTGATTAAACAATCCAAATAGCAACTGATAAATGGATTAACCCTGCGTAATATAATTCTGCTAGCTTTTGTCTTCCGCCTTCCCCAGGTAAGTTTTCTATTCCTGGAGGCAAAGCAGAGGCATGGAGGAAGCGAAGGCCAGAGGGAATCATATTAAAGTGGGTGAATCTGTTTATCACTTACTGTCTGGATGGTATTTCTACTCACATATCTGCTTTCTTTTCCAGATTTGTGCCCTTTGGGACCCTGATTAATGTTAGCCTGTGAATAATGAAAGGTAGCAGCAGATGTTGGGGATGCCAAGGAGAGAAATAGTGGTTAAGGCTGATCCCACAGATGGAGGGATTTTTTTCCCCTTTTATTCACAATGAGGAAGTATAAATGTGACAAAGAAATGTCCACCATAGGAGGAAAGAAACAGAGGAAAAAAACTCCCATGCAAAGAAACTGACTGAAACAGGGTATAGTTTTGGTACTCAAAGACATGCTGTTCTTACAAAGCTTTGTTTGTGAGATCATGTCCCCGAAATTTTCTTTGCCTTTAAGAACTCTCAACAGGTGGGGGTTATAGAGTTAATATTCAAATAGTAAGCATTTGGCTCATGTTTTTACTCATCATTTGACCCATGTCTGGCATGAGACTGAGTAAGCACCTTGTATACTTGTGTATAGTTCTCATTCTAGGCACTTGGGCTCTGCAGATTAACTTATCCTGAGTGCTTTTTATGAACAGCGAATCTTAGGAGATAAGGCTGAGCAAGAAGGTACCCATATACCTTCCAAGACGTTCATCAAAGTCCCAAAGAACCTCTCACTTATGCTCCCCGGTTATGACCAGCTACTGGTCATACTTCTTTGTTTTCCTTTTTCAGGGACAATAGGCAAACTCTTTCCTACATTTTTTTCTCAAAAGCAAGATCCAGACTTTGACTCTTGCTCCTTTTCTACCCATTGCTATTTATGGTTAGCATCTGACGTTTGGGGTCTTGGCTTGAGGGCTGGTTATTTAAGGTTGACAGAAGTTCACTCGAGTAGGAATATGTCTGGATGAATTGCTTATCTAGAGATGTGATCAGAAGGGCTAATTGGTTTTTATAAAAACTGCTGGGAAATATTACAGAAGTTAAACTCTGAAAGACGTGCAGATTAATACCATTGAACCAAGAAGGGTCAAACAGAAGACCCAGCATAACATCACACTTGGTTGTAACAAACCCTTACGCTTTGAACTTTATATTCTTTCTAGAGTGGATTCTGCTACACTGTGGGAGAAGAGAAGGCAGTAGGAACACATCTCAGCCTAAAATTGGAATTTGTTTTTTATGTTTCTACAGCCCAAAAGGGACCAGATGGGACAGTCATTCCCAATAATTACTGTGACTTCTGCTTGGGGGGCTCTAACATGAACAAGAAGAGTGGGCGGCCTGAAGAGCTGGTGTCCTGTGCAGACTGTGGACGCTCTGGTGAGTGTGGCCCCTTCCTGCATCGTGTGCACATAGCCCAGGATCTCTTCTGCTTGTCTCCCTCTGCCATCTTGCTGGGGAAGGGTGGAGGGGCAGAGTGGATTGATTGATGGTGGTGATGATTTCGACTGGAGCTGGGTTTTTATGTCATTTAGATATCTTTCTTCTTGAGATCCTAAGAACCAAAAGTTATGCCCTGAGTTCCAGGGTAAGAGTCAAAGAGGTTTTGATTTGTGTCTGGTCTTTGAGGTGGACATTAATTTGTATGTATTGTTGTAGGCAATAGCAAGGTAGAGTGGGAAAACCTGGAGATACATGCTTTCATGTAGCAAGCTTTCTCATATTAGATGATGCACACATTGCAAGAAGTTGTGTTTGGGTTGTGGAAGTCCCTGAGGGCAATCCAGAAGAGTATGAAAATATGAATACTGGAAAAGCAGCTACTTTGTGAATTGTGAAAATCAAGGATCCTTGCATTCCTGGGTAGCTTCATAAAAACACCACCTTCATTGGTCACTCATCTCATTTTCTCGTGAAAACGAAAAAAGAGACTCTTACAAATCAAGGAGGCAAAAGGAGGATAGGCATTCCTGCACTCCTGGGGCTAATCTGGAGTTGACTTGGTATGGATCTTCTCCCCCCACCTCCCGCCACATCTTTAACCTTTCCAAAGACTCAAATATCACAGAGAGACTCTTTCTTTCTTAAAATGAGTTTAAGTCTTTCTTGTTATTTCAATTTTCAGTTTTAACCAATCCGTTCAGTGTTAACCAATCCTTGATTGGCCAGTGCTACCCAGTTTTTTTTGCATTTTTAAATTTTTTGGTACTGGGGAATCAAACATTCATATTGTTTTGTGTTATAACTATACAAAGCACAAGGGGAGAGAGGATTTCATATGACTGTTGGTCTCCTCAATGACTGACCAGTAGGTGAACAGTTTGTTTGGGCTGTTGGTTCCAGCATGAGGAGTCATTGCTCCTGACCACCTTTTGTCCTAGTCTTGTTTTCATTATCAGGCCCAAGACAAAGACTGAGATGAACAAATCTTGGTTTATTGCAGCAACTCAGTTCTTCCTTGTTTTGTTTGAAAAATCTTACCTTTGCCTCTTTTACATTTTGTTGTCAGGATGTTTAGGGCTCAAGACTGCCTTGAGTGGGAAACTGGTAATTGGAAAAGGACTTGGTTTTCACTGCACGCAGCCTTCAACATTTAATTTTCAAGGATCCTGGAAGGGTGGCCCTTTGTGCAATTCTGTCAATTCATATACAGTCCAAACATGATACCTAATATTGAACTTTTTACTCTATTGATGCTATCTTAGAAGCTAGGGCCCTGGTGATCATGGACTCTGGTTTTTAGATACTTAAAAAGAAAATAAGACAAACAAAATTTAACTCAGTGTCTTTTAAGAGCAAGCAATCAGACAAAATCTCTACTACCAGAATCAAGGTCACTTGGTGGAGTGCTACTCAAAGCAGGATATTATGGGTTGTTATAGGTTTGGATGGGCTTGGAGAAAGCACACTCTCATTGTAAACTGCTATAATTTTCCCTTTTTCTATCTTACAAAAATTGTGGCACTTGCATCTGATCCATGGGCATCAGAAATGGTGGTTTTATTCTATACTCAGCCTGTCTTTCTACAACCTTTACTCAGCTTTTCTTTTCTAGGTTCTGTCTGCTATGTGACTTACGGGGCCATTTTTTGTAAACCAGGGTAGATAATCTCTTTACAGTTGCCAAGGACCTCTTACGCAAGGTGTGACTGTGATGTTCCTGAAATAGTTGATCCTTTGGGAACACACAGGTGGCATTAGTCTGTGCCTGTTAAAGCAGGTGGGCGAATACTTCTCTGGGGCCTCCCTAGGGTCTTTCCAGAGAAGAGTGTGGAGCTTGGAATTGCTGTTTTTTCCTGCCCACCTACCCCACTGCTTCTGTTTCTGGGGATCAAGTGGGGTGCTCAAAACTGGCCTTGTAAGAGGTACATGGTTACTAACTGTGGAAGCAGCTTGGAACTCGAGTTTCACTGATTTTTAAGATCCTGTATTTTACGAGGCCTTTTGGCCACTATTTCCACCTTCTGAGTGTTTTGAGTTAGATAATCTGAATCTTCAGGAGTAATTAAGACCTGGGCATGTTTAATAGGAAGATAGTGGTGTGTGTGTGTGTGTGTGTGTGTGTGTGTGTGTGTGTGTACATCTGTATGTGGGCACAGATCACAGTTCCTCTACTGGTTACAGACAATGAGAAACTCTTCCAGGACTTACCAGTTATCAGACTTTCCAACTTCTTTTTGCTTTCAGTGCAAATAAACTACATGGTGTAAGGATAGAATTGAAAAGGTTCTGAAAGAATGGGATTAGAAGCAAGGAAAAATAAAAATAAGATGGACTTAACCACCTTGAATGGGTTATCTGACAGTAATACCTTTGTAAAGCTGACTGTCAAAGTGATGGACAAACATTGTTCAAAGCAGCATCAACTGAAAACACCAAAGAAATGCCAACCAGGCTTAAAAACCACCGAGAAAATCATTGTCTGGTGCAGGGCTGAGTGAGCGTGCATGCGTCTGTGTGCATGCGGAAGAGGGGTGAGATCATGTTGCTTCTCTGGCTGTCAGCAGCTGTGGACATGTGTATTATGGTAGAAATGATGCCTTTTTTCGGGGAGGGAATCCTCTCTCTGGAAATGAGTGCTTTGTCCCAAATCCCCCATTCCCTAGGTGATGTACCTGGTTAATCCCTTTCGGTGTGACATTGGTTTGTTATCTTGCTATTAAGAATAACACTGTAATAACGTAATGAGAATATTAATGATGCTGTCTGTTGCTTAACCCATGTGCTGATATATTCATCATACATGTCAGCTCATTTGGGAGGAGAAGGCAGGAAGGAGAAGGAGGCAGCGGCTGCAGCACGCACCACGGAGGACTTATTCGGTTCCACGTCAGAAAGTGACACCTCAACTTTCCACGGCTTTGATGAGGACGATTTGGAAGAGCCTCGCTCCTGTCGAGGACGCCGAAGTAGCCGGGGCTCACCCACAGCAGATAAAAAGGGCCGTTGCTAAGCCTGTGGAACAGACTGTCCGGGCAATCAGCCATCCCCTCTGACTCTGGTCATTGTTCTGGTTCTGATATATATATATATATATATATATACATACATATATATATTTTTAATGAAAGTCAACTTACGTTCTTAAGTTTTCCCTTTATCCTTGCCTTTTTCCTCCCGCCGTCCACACCTCCCTTTGCACTGCCATCCCTCTCTTCTGGGTATGTACAGCAGAAGCACCAACTACCGAAACAAAACAAAACAAAACAAAACAAAAGAGCAGAATAAGAATTCTTCAGAGACGTGGCATGGCTACGTGCTGTTTCTTTTCCCTAGAAATAGGAAGTTAGGTGGATTTTCTCTCTTTTGGGGGGACGGGGAGGGGATCTTTTGACATGAGCAGAGTTGATTTCCTCAGTTTTCATATTTATTGGCAAAATGAAGAGAAACAGAACACTGGGTTTGGAAACAAAAGAGCCAATAATGTTAAGTTATTATTTATATACGCTAGCTATTATTAGAGTCAGCCTTTTTTTTTTTTTTTTTTTTGAGAGAGAGAAGAAGGGAAATCAAAGGCATTGAAGTCATATCCTGTTTAAAAGCAAACCACTGAGGGGAGAAGTTCCTCAATGGGAGAGGATTGCACTCTCTGTGCCCCACAGAGTTGTTTCCTCCTGTAGCTGACCCCTTTCCCATTTCTCCTCCCTGGCCTTTCCGCCTTCCTCTCTGCTTGTGAGAAAATGTCAGCAGTCCCAGAGCAGCCTGGCCACCCCTTGTCTGGCCTCCCTCCAGCGCAGGCCCTGGCCAGCAGCGCCTTCTCGGCTCCTCCTCTGTGCGGGCAGAGCTGCTGTTTCCTTGTTGCTGGGTTTGCCTCCCTTTCCTCTTGGCGAAGCACGTCTTCCAAATGCAGGAATGGAATATAAGCAAAAGGCAGTGACTGAACAAGCAGAGGCCTCGCTTTTGGAAGAAGAATGAAAGCTCATGGTGTATTCCCCTCCCCAAGCCCCTGTTTAAAAACACCTAACTGCCTGTTGGATGATCAAGCCGCCTGTGTTTCTTCTACTTTTTTATAGTGCCCGCCAGGCACTTTGTTTTATGTCTCCAATAGCAACTCTTGAAAGAAACCAAAGCAACACTTGCTCAAGGCCCCTGGCAATGGAGAAGATGGTCCACCTGGTTGGCAGCCCCAACATCGAACAGCTTTGAGGCTCTGCCCAAAAGGTAAGTTCTAGTTTCTCTGTCTTATGAAGAGGGCTAAGCCATCACACTTTTATTTTTTTTATTGGTTTTCTTTTTTTAAAATTACTTATTCTGTGTCTTTCCTTCTTTTTTCTTTTTGTTCCCCCACCCCATCCCAGATTGCTTTTTTGTTTATCTGGGTCCTCATTTCTTAGCATGGGAGTGGCTTACTGGAACGTTTTGTACCCATGGTGACTTGTGTGTGCATGCAATTATTACCCACCTGGACCTGGTGGGGGACTGAGGCCTGCCTGAATTATGGAGGGGCTCTGTGGGCAGAATGGCTTTCATTGTAAGAGGAACTGGCTGGGGAAATGCTTGGCTGTCTCTGTCTCCCTTAGCTAAATGTGGACGTGCATTTCAGATAGCTGAGATTGGAGTTGGCTGCTGGGCTTGGTAGGAGTCAGGAGGTGCAGTTGCAGGGTGCTGCATGTCCGGGGTGGTGTTCCTTGCTATATGTATCAGTTTCACAGCTGAGGGAACGAGTCCAAGTTAAAGATTCCTAATTAGGCATGGCACTCATCTGGGCTGTTTTGAAGATTCTGAACTTCTACCAAGTGTGGCCAGAGTCTCTGGCCTCCATAGGAATCTAGTCTGGAGATATAGGCAAAGCCAGTTGATTTGGTTTAGGAGATGCAAATGGCTTTCTGGATTCCATGTTGCTTTTATATGTCTAAGAAGATCTACTTTGACTTGCAAGT